ATACTTCTATCACCCAAGATATCACAAGAATTCTTGAAGCTTTGTGTCACCACAGAATTTCCTGTGTTGATTTCAATAAACAACATATTTACATTCCAATTACCAGAAGGCATTTGAACTAGGAGTTAAAATATTCTTTAATCTTTTGAGAATTATAATTTTATAGGAATCTTTTACAGACCAATATCATGTATAATTTTGATGTAGTATATAATTCTTATAAAGTATGAATAATTCCTATTTTAAATGGTAAAATATATCAAGAAAAAAATCAATGTTTACATATTTTAAAAGAAACTAGTCAATTATGTAGGAACAAACTTTTTTTTGTAGTTGTAGATGGGCAGCATACCTTTATTTTATTTGTTTATTTTTATGTGATGCTGAAGATGGAACCTAGTGCCTAACACATGCTAGGCAAGTGCTTTGCCACTGAGCTATAGCCCCAGCCCCTGTAGGAACAAAGTTTAACATATACATTTAATTTGAAGGATCTGATCATGTAAAAATTTTAAAATTCTTTGACCAAAAGGAGAAAGGTAAACAATTAAATTAGAACATTTTTTGGTAAACAACAAAATTTAGAACTGCAGTTTTACATGACAAGTAATTAGCAAGGATTAGAGACTGATGGTTATGTTCTACAAGAGAACACACTCGTGCACACATGTAAGACAGAAGCAAAGAGCAAAGAAAGAAGTTTAAGAATTATAGTTTTTTTTTATTTTGCCATTTTTTTGTTGTTTGTTTTGTTTTTAAGACAGTCTTGCTGTGTTACCTGAGCTGGTCTCAAACTCTTGTGCTCAAGGGATTCTCCTGCTTCAGCCCTGGGGCATTACTTGGAGTAGCTGGAACTATAGGCACATGCCACCATACCCAGCTGTAGTGTTTATTAAGATGACTTCACAACCCAAATAGCAAAACCTGATATTGTAACTGCCAAGTTCCTAATCCACCATCTTTCCATTTACCCTGTTTCCAATAGATTACAGAGGTCATACAATATAAAGCAGGGGAGTGGAAGGCGGACAAAAGTAGGGGTGGTCTTTCCTCCCTGGCACTGAGTGGCATGAACAACTTGGATGCTTTTCTTTTAAAAAATATTAACATATATTAATTTTACAATTATTAATATTACAAACATTAAAGAGTTCAGTGTGATATCTCTTTGCAATAAGTACAATGTGCACTAATAAATTCCAGATTCCCGTTACCCATCTTCCCACTCCACCTCCCTCCTCAGTCTTTAGTAATTCACTCTTCTACTTTCAGGCTGACTTTTAAAAAACTTCCACACATGAGAGAACGTGTGAGATTTGTATTCCTATGTCTGGCTTATTTAAATTAACGTAATGTCCTCTAGATCCATCCATTTTGGATGAAAGGATTTCATTCTTTATGGCTGAATAATACTCTATTGGGTATGTACACCACATATTCTTTATCCATTCATTAGCTGATGGGCATCCAGGTTGATTCAATATTTTGTCTTTTGAGAATAGTGCTACAATAAATATGGGTGTACAAGTATGCCAATTTCATTGCCTTTGTATGTATACCCAGAAGTGGACCAGCTGGATCATATGGTAGACTTATTTTGAGTTTTTCTGAAGCACTTCCAAACTGTTCTTTGTATTGATTGTTACTAATTTACATTCCCACAAAGAGTATATGAGTTTTTTATTTTCCACATCCTTGTCACAGTTTGTTTTGTTTTGTTGTGCAGTACCAGGGGTCGAATGCAGGGCCTTCCACATCCTAGGCAAGTGCTCTACCACTGAACTTCATCCCCAGACCTTTCCATTTTTCACTTTGAAACAGGGTCTTGCTAAGTTGGCCAGGCTGGCTTCAAACTTATGATCTTCCTGTCTCAGCATTCCCAGTAGCAAATATTGCAGGTGTGTACCATCATGCCTGGCATTTTTTTGTTGTTTTGATAATGACCATTCTAACTAGGGTGAGATAATATCTTTGTAGTTTTGATTTCATTTCTCTTATGGTTAATGATATTGAGCAATTTAAAAACTATTTGTTAAACATTTGTAATTTTTTGGGAAGTATCTATTTATATCATTTTTTCATTTTAAAATTAAATTACATGTTATAGGGGTTTTTTTTAGTTCTTTATATATTCTGGACATTATTCCTTTGTCAGATACATGAACATTTAAAAAAACTGTTTTTTTTTCTGTTCTTGGTGCTGAAGATTAAGCCCAGGGCTTCTACATGCTGGGCAAGTGCTCCATCATGGAACTACAACCCAAGCCCATGATCCTGTTTTGAAATCCATACATGTCTGTTTCCTCATTACAAAATACAGGGTAATAATATTTGCTCCATAGGATTACTGTATAACATTTTTATACAATAGTGTTATAAATAAGAAGGAACATGTAAAACACATAGTATATAGGAAGCACTCAAAAAAGTATTCTTATTTGTTGGGCTTGGTGGTGGTCACCTGTATTCAAGGCAGGAGGATCCCTTAGGCCCAGAAGTTCAAGGCCAGTCTGGGCAAGATATCCAGAACGTGAAAGAGAGAGAAAGAGGAAAAGGAAAAAAGAGAAAGAGGGAAGGGTGGATGGAAGGATGAAAAGCAAAGCAAAGAAAAAGTGTTTTGTTTTATAGCACCATTTGACTTAACTTTTCAGAAGTACTACTTTCCCCGACTCATCTACTCATGCACAACCCTAACTACATTAATCTCATCAATTCCAAACATTGGTTTCTGATTCAAGCATCTTCTTCCCCCATCACCATTCATCATTCCCATTTCTCCTGTTCCCAATCTACTAGGAAAATACTCTCATTCTCATTTCGTTTTGGGCCTTTCAGGTTTAGGCAAACATCTACCTTTTTTTAAACTTTTTGGTCTAACCTCCTCAGAAAGTGCAATAGCTATTGCAATTATACAAGTAGACTTTCATCTAGACCTTGTGCCTAATAGAAGAAAAAGTAGGCCCAGATATCCACCATGTCAGCTTAGGTACTGACTTCCTTAACAAGATTCCTAAAATGCAATAAGTAAAATCAAGAATCAGCAAATGGGATGGAATCAGACTAAAAACCTTCTTCACAGCAAAGGAAACAATAACATGAAGAGAGAGCTTACAGAATGGGAGAAAACTTTTACCACATGCACCTCAGATAGAGCATTAATCTCCAGGATATATAAAGAACACAAAAAATTTAACACTATAAAAACAAATAACCCGATCAATAAATGGGCTAAGGAACTGAACAGAAGGAATACAATCCATCAACATTGAAAAAATGTTCAACATCTCTAGCAATTAGAGAAATGCAAATCAAAACTACAATGAGATTCCATCTCACTCTATCAGAATGGCAATCATCAAGAATACAAACAACAATAAATGTTGGCGAGGATGTGAAGAAAAAGGTACACTCATACATTTCTGGTGCAACTGCAAACTGCAAACTGGTGCAACTACTCTGGAAAGCAGTATGGGGATGACTTAGAAAACTTGGAATGGAACCACTATTTGACCCAGTCATTCCACTCCTCAATTTATACCCAAAGGACTTAAAATCAGCATACTACAGTGTTGCAACCATATCAATGTTTATAGCAGCTCAATGCATGATAGTTAAGTTACAAAACCAAACTAAGTGCCCTTCAACAGTTGAATGGATAAAGAAAATGTGGTATATATACACAATGGAATATACTCAGCCTTAAAGAATGAAATTATGGCATTTGCAGGTAAATGGATGGAACTGGAGAATGCTATGCTAAGTGAAATAAACCAATCCCAAAAAACCAAAGGCCAAATGTTTTCTCTGATGGATGCTAATTCACAAAAAGGGGAGGCTAAGGAAGAATAGAGGTACTTTGGATTGAGCTGATGGGAGTGAAGGGACAGGAGGGGGTATGGGGGTAGCAATGAATCAGACATTACTGCCCTATATGCATATATGATTGCATAGCCTGTGTAATTCTCCATCGTGTACAACCAGACGAATGAGAAGTTTTACTTCATTTATGTATGATGTGTCAAAATGCATCTACTGTCATGTATAACTAATTAGAATATATATATATATATATATATATATATATATATAAAGTTTAAAAGGGGCTAAAAGTTTAGCTCAGTGGTATAGTGCTTACCTAACATGCTTGAGGCCCTGGTTTCAATTCCTGGCACCGCAAAATAATTTTTCTTTCCTCTTTCTGATGCTGAAAGGGAAGATTCAAGATTAAGGGTTCCACAGCTAGAATTAAGACTAGAAATAATTTGTTTATTCAATAAATATCGAATGCCTGTTACAGGAAAGTGAAATCTTGACGGGAGAATTCCCAAGATTTCCAATTCCCGATCCAGAACGCTGAAAAAGCACTCCAGGAGGCCAAAAATGAAGACATAGTTCCCAGAGAACTGGATGGGGAGAAGAACCAGCCGAGCTAGGTCTGGAGCCTGATGGGAAAAGAGGCTCTAGCAAGAGAAGCAAGTAAGTGCGACCCTGGGCCCCCTCGGACCGTTTCTCCGCCGATCCGCGCGAGGGCGCTGCTCTGTTCCTTGCGGGCCGTGCCCTGGCGGTGCCGCCTGCTCGCCTTTTCAAGGCGGAAATGCCGGGGCGATGACGGAAACCCAGAGGGAGGGGAGAGAAAGAGCGAGAGAGAAGGGCCGAGAGATCGAGGAGAGGAGAGATTGAGGGAGGAGGCGGCGGGTAGTTATCGTCCGACCGAGCCGAGGGCCTGCACCGCGCTCCCAGCAACTTCCCGCACCTTTCACCGACTCCGGCGGCGCGCGGCCGGGCCGGGCGGGGCAGGGCGGGCGGGGGTCTCCTGGAGGCTGCGTGCCTGGAGCCTCCCGCTGGGCTTGGGCGGGGCCCTGGGCTCGCGGCCGCCCTCCACCTCTCCCTCGTCTCCAGCTGAGAGCTGGCGAGTGCGTCAGGGGAGGCTAGCGTCGCGGGCGGAGGCGGAGGCGGGGGCCGGGGCGGGTGGGGGCGGGGAGGGGGGAGGGAGGCGGCTGGGAAGGGGAGCTGGCCGCCATGGACGACAAGGCGTTCACCAAGGAGCTGGACCAATGGGTCGAGCAGCTGAATGAGTGTAAACAGCTTAACGAGAACCAAGTGCGGACGCTGTGTGAAAAGGTAAGAGTGAAAAGAAAAGCTCGGGAGCGCTGGGCCGAGCGAGGGGCGGGCGCGGCGGCCTCTCCTCCTGGGCCCTTTGCCCGTGCGCGACCTCGGGCTGCGTTTCTCTTGCCCCCCTTCCCAATCCCTACCCGGTGGCCTGGCCAAGCCAGTCCAGGACGTGAGCACCGACCGAGCTGTCCTCGCCGTTCCCCTTGGTCCCGGCCGGACGCGCAGGTGCCAGGCCTAAGGAGTCCGCTGTAGATGAACTGAAGAAATGTATTTCTCGGAACCCGCGCCCGAAGTTCGGTTATGGTCCCCTTCACTGTTCTGGGGAGTTCATTGTCACTTCAGCTTCTTTCACACGTGGACGACCAGTAGCGGCGATTTAGGATGCCCGAAAATTATTCAAACGCAGTCTCTTTGAATATGCACCGAAAATTAATCTGAAAGTCATTAGTATTAAAGAATTTTGTAATGTAAAATTGTTCTTAGATAAATGGGTTCCTGCAGAAATCAGTGAGTCGGAGTGTGTCAATCATTTGTATAGAAGTGGGCGTGATGGCAGGCGGATTTTTTAAAAATCGAGATTGATTTTGGTAGAAGTCTTGGCGTTGAGTGGTTCTTGGGAGTAATGTTGATTTTCAGAAACAAGTCAGCAAGTATTAAATTTCAGAATAGTGTTTGCTTTGAATGATATGTTTTCGAGTAGGGTAGCATTTTTTCAGAAACTTCCATTTTTGCTGTATATAAAGATTTTTTCTTTTCCAGAGATTAAAAAAAAACATGCAAGAGACTAGTTATTTAGGTCGTTCTTGAATATGTGATCTTCGTTTTCTGAATTCTGTATCCAGTGTTGTTGTTGTTGTGCCTAGGGTTGAACCCAGGGGCGCTTATCCACTGAACCTTTAAAATTTGTTTTGACACGGGGTCTTCTCTAAGTTGCCTGGGGCCTATGTAAGTTGTTGAGGGTGGGTTTGAACTTGAGATCCTCCAGCCTCAGTGTCATGTGTGCTACTACTCCCAGCCTGTACCCAGTGTTTTCTTAACTGCTAAAATTATTTCCATCTCTCCATCTTAAAGTCTGGAGTTTTTCTTATACATCTTTTGTAACGTGAATTAAACAATTTTCCCAAATTTTTGTGTTGAAAAGTTCGATTTGGAGTCCATGAAGGAATAAGGAAGGAGGTTATTTATTTCAATCCAGAATCTATAAAATTATCTTAGTCATACGTTTGAGAGTCAGGATGCCCCAGAAATGCACTAAAGAAGGAAAGATTTTCTTGGTGTTATTTATTAACAGGGCACTATTAAAGTTAAGCAAAACTGGGGCTGGGGTTGTGGCTCAGCGGGAGTGCACTAGCCTAGCATGTGCAAGGCCCTGGGTTTGATTCTCAGCACTGCATAAAAATAAGTAAACAAAATTGTGTCCAACTAAAAAATAAATATTTTTTTAAAAAGTTAAGCAAAACTTAGAGATGGAAGAGTAATTAATAAAACAATTTAAGTTGAGCATGATCTTTGTATATTAAATAACCACACAGAACAGGAAAAATTGTAAATACAACTGTGGAGGAAATGATCTCTCCCTGAAACAAACTTTACTTGCAGTTTCAATTACTTCAATTTTTCTTGTGTAGTAATCTCACAAGTCTTAAATTTTAGTTTTTAAATGTCTCTCTAAAGCTCAGATGTCACTGAAATATCCAGTTTTGAAGTCAACAAATCTTGCTATAAGTGTCACATACAGAATTGTGCTTTATTTTACAGTCTTCTGCTAGCATCTGTGGCATACCTTGTGGTTATGTGTATATTTAGATGTATTTTTCTTGTATTCTAACGTTAGTCCTAGTTGGATTTTGTAACAACTATGCATTCCACCTGTCTGAATTCAAATCCTGTTCCACATCCTTCTAGCTGCCAGTGTGTTTGCACTTCTGGTTCCCTTTATGTGAGACAGGGATAATAATTACTGATCTCCTGAGTTGACTTTATCTTAATAGTACCCATGTAAAGTCCTGATAAAAAATAGGCATGTGGTGAATGTTAAATAAAGAAAGGATAAATTTTTTAATGCATTTTCTTTTGGAAAGAAATGTAAAATAGATATGTTGATATGACTTCTGGTGAAGGTACCTCAAAGGAGGAGATCCTCACTGCCCTCTACTGTATTCCACCCCACTACTGGGAATTGAACCCCTAGTCCTAAAAGGATTTTTATGTATAATGACTATATTGTATTTCCTCTTCATCACAAAATACTGTAGAATTTTGTAAAAAGTAACTACTCTTAACTTAGTTGGGTTTTTTCTTTCTTCTTCTTCTTCCTTTTTTTTTTGTACCAGGAATTGAACCCAAGGGCACTCTTACCACTGAGCTACATCTCTAGGCATTTTCCTTTTTTATTTTATTTTATTTTATTTTTTATTTTCCTTCACTAAGTTAGTGAAGGCCTTATTAATTACTGAGGCTGTTCTTAAACTTGTGATCCTCCTGCCTCAGCCTCCCAAATCTCTGGGATTAAGGCATGCCTCATTGTACCTGGATAAGTCCTAATACTTATCCTTCAGTTCCAGAGCAAAAAAAGGCAGGCATATAAAACAGTTAAACCTAATTATATGTCATCTCTTTTTAAATTCCTTTTCATTACATTTTTAGTTGCATGATTTTTGGATTCTGTTTGCTGTGCTACTCTATAGAAAGTCACATGAGAAGGCAGTGGTTTTTCCTTTTAAATTAAATTCTTCTTCTAATTTCAGCCTAAAACTGAAGCTTGTCAGATGAAATTAAGACCAAAGTAGTACTAGTAAAGTCCCTATTTTGAGATAGTGGCAAAAATAAAACTCACGCTCCAGCTAGTGGGCGAATGACTACCAAAGTAAGAATGTGAATGGTATGTCTGGCTTTGAGGTTAATTTCAGCCTAGTGAAAAATTGTTGATATAAAATAGTAAAGCATATCTTCTGAGAAGACTCTTTTACAGTAACCTAAATTAGCAACCCAGCTTTTTAAGCTAATTGTGATCTTGAGTCCTCTCTGAGAAACTGCTTCTGTGATTCATTTCTGCAACAGTGGTATGCACAGTACTTTTTAAGAATGCTGTGTCTAATACCCAGTCTGGCACTGTTTGGGACATACTGTAAATAGAACTATATATATTTAACTCTTGCCTTGAGAAGTGTAAAAAATTTTAGGCTCTTTGACCTGATAAATTTTATTCTATAACTTCAACCTTGGTGATGATACTCTAGGTAGAAAGGGAAATTTAGTCAGCTTATGTGCTGGCAGATCTTTATTCTGATGAATTTTCTTACTGAGGAAAATTTTGAGGCTTGGAGTAGAAGTATAGATATGTAAATTTTGTATTGAACTAATGGGTACATTTTTGGGTCATGGTTTCTGCTTTTAAATAAGCAGAAATATCTATAGGATATTATTTAACTTTGGCTGTTTTTGTTTAGAGTACTGGAAATTGAACCCAGAGCCTTTCTCATTGCTAGGCAGACGCTTTGCCACTAAGTTGTGAACCAGCCACATCCCTGCCCCCCCCCTCTTTTTTTTGAGACAGTCTCACTAAGTTGCCCAGGCTGACCTTGAATTTGTTATTCTTTCCTGAGAAGCTGGGATTGCAGGTATGTACCACCATGCCTGGTACATACTTTATCCTTTTTATGTATGTATTTTTTTTTTTGGTGGTGGTGGTGGTGCTGGGGATTTGAACCCAGGGCCTCATGTATGCTAGGCAAATGCTCCACAGCTGAGCTACACCTCCAACCTTACTTCATTATTAATGTGAAATAGCATGCTTAAATCCTGAATGTCCAGAATCATCTTATGAAGATTAGATCCTGGTAATATTGAACAATTTTTGTGAGTTGAAGAAAATCTTGTACATTATTCTCTGGGATATGTTGCCAGCTGAAAAAGAAAAGTGATGGTTACTGATGCTTTCATTTTAAAATTTCCCTTGAACAAGGATTAGTGCCAGCCTTGGTGGTCCATTGATAAAGTCTGATGCAGTGATGTAGAAAATAGCTCTTTTCTTTGTGATGATAACAAAGAATGACATGGTTACAGTGGAATATGAGGTTAAGACCCAATTCTAATGACTGAACAAATCATGGTTTTTCATGCCTGTCTGAGCTGATAGGTAAAGAAATTAAGCCAAATGAGAAATAGCATGAACTATTGCTAACGACTAGCTGTTAAATCGGGTAATTTATTGACATGATATGAAAAATCATATACCTAGGTAGACAAAATGAATTTGTTTACATTATAAAATTTGGGGGGGGGGGCTGGGGTTGTAGCTCAGTGGTAGAGCATTTGCCTCATGTGTGAGGCACTGGGTTCAGTTCTCAGCACCACATATAAATAAATGAATAAAATAAAGGTCCATCAACAACTAAAAAAATATATTTAAAAAAAGTTTTTTTTTCATTGAGTAATTTTATTTGCAGCATATGCCTTCTGATTTTAATCGTGTCCAGAAAAATTTCCTTCTCAGTCTTTTCTTCAGGATAAACACTCTGAAGGACTTTAAATATAGTCCTCCTTTGGTGAAAGCAAAACAATGTGCAAGAAATTGAGAAGACAATCAATGCCCAGTTAATTTTTGTAAATTCGAACTATTTTCTGAATTTAGTTTTTTTCTAGTAGAATGGTGCTAAAATCATAGATATAATCATATATATATATACATACATATACATATATATGTATGTATATATAGATATAGATATAGAACTCGAGTCTGTAAGACTAAATAGGAATTTTTAATTGTTTTGATTTCCTTGTTCTCCTTTAAGTAACTGTGATGAAATGCAAACCTCATTTAGGTTGTTAAGAATAATTTGCATATAAACATCTTTTTTCTGTTACTGTCCCTTTATTTCTAACCAGATGTTGTCCAGTACTTCCTTTTCCATATGTTACTTTCGAGTCTAAATTTCTTTCATAATATTGACCCTGGGAAGACGTCCTATACATTACAGATTGATTGCTTTCTAGGGAATGGGAGA